GCCACGTTGGCGGGCAGCCACACAAACCAGGTACTCAGATGCTTTCTGGCCAGGACGCCCAGCGACGCTGCGGCAGTCACAGAGGGAGGAAGGCTTAGCCTGGGCGGCTTGCAAACGACGGATGAGGACTTTTACAAAGCATGTGTGGACGGGGCCACCTGGAGGATCGTTTCCCAAGCGGTGCCGCAGAGGTTTCCTGACTTTTGCCACCTGGCACAATCGGCAGCAAATGCCACAGGGCACGTAGCACGGGAAGAGTCCGAGCTACAGTTGTGCCGAAAGATCCACTCAGAGGTGGCAGGTCAAATGAGAGCGGGCAAATCCAATGTCACCTACCAGGACATCAAGGACGTTGTCCTCAGATCAAAGCCCCGCAGTGCAGGGACGGTGCCTGCGCTTTTCGTCTTCACACTCCGGTACAGCGGGGGCCAGTCGGCACACTTACTTCATGAGACGGAGAAGTTCGTTCGAGCTCATGGTTTTAACAGCCGGCTGCTTGGCCCAGACACCTACGAAGCCCTCAACACAGAGCTCAAGAGCCGCGACCCGGGAGCGCAGATCAGGCATATGCTCTTGCACTTCGCTTACGGCGTTGACGACCCCCGGGCCCTGAGCCCGTCGGACGTCAAGAAGGCACTTTCCACGAGCATGGCCAACAAACGAGAGGAAGCCACCAAGCTTCTCGAGGAGTGCAAAGCACTGTGCAGCGCCCATAGTGTTCCGGCGGCCCTGGCGCTGAAAGCGGTTGGCTTTCTCCAGGTGAACATGGTCGGAGTCTTACTGGATAAGAAAAAGTTCAAGAAGCACGCAAGCCTGCAGAAAGCGGCGGAGCACTGCATCACGGAAATCCAAGAGGGCGTACAGATCCACTTCCCGAACCCGTTCGCCAGCACAACCTCAGCCAGCTCGTCTTTGAAGTCATCGCCTAAGGCGCCTAAGGAGGATGCAAGCATGCTGCTGCTTGCCCGTTACGATCTTTCAGATGCGCTGTGTCTTTTTCTGTTGTCTCTATAGATGCTTTCCTCCTCCTCTTTCTCTCTCTATATACATACATATATATA